CAGAACTCCTCTCCATATCCTCTTTTTTCTTCTCCATTTCTTCTGGTGAAACATCCTTTGCTGCCATCCACCATTTTTCTTCAACTCCTTTATTATCCTTCTTCACTTTCTCCACTCTAAAAGCACTGTACTTTTCCAATACTAAATCTAACTCCTTTAGTACCCTCTCTTGTCCTTTTGATGCTATAGTTAAACCATAGTTGAGTAAATTATCTTCATCATTTGCTTCAGAAGGGATTCTAAGAGTGAAGAAATAGTGAGACTCATCAAGTTTTATAGCAGCCTCATCTTTGGCTAAAGGCCATTGGATTTGATCACCGACACGTGCAAGAACAGCAACAACGTTGTCACCTTGTTTAAGTTGAACAATTTCAAATTCACCACTAGCGAGTTCAATACTACGTTCTTTGTCAATCAGATGAACTATTGTACCTGGGATTTTGACGATCACTTGTTCTAATGACACAAAGTCAGCATTTTTATTGGTTTCTGTATCTGGGAAAAGATTTTCTGCTAGATCTTTCATGTCAATGGTGGGGTACAAAGAAGAACTAGAATAAGTTGAGGGGTTCTTCTGGGAAAGAAATGGAGAAGTTGATTCTGGGTTTGAATCAATGACTTGTGGGTATAATTTTGGGGGATTTGAATTTTGAAAAGACATAGTAGTTTTTTTGGATTCTTGATTTCCCAGTTTGGAAACACAGAAAGGAATGAACTTTGTGGAAAATCTGAGATGGGGTTTGAAGATTTCTAAGTTTTAGCTTAAAAAGGAATGAACTTTATAAAAATCTGAGATGGGTTTCGAAGATTTATGCAAGATTTAGCTTAAGGTATAAGAAAATGGAAAAAAGGCGGTTCTAAAGTTGAAGACGAGTTGACGTGGTATGCCACGTGGCTTTATATGTAAAGCCCGTGTGGAAGCCGTGGAGATTCTTAGCCTTTTTTTGTGGTAAGAATTAAGGAATATTTTTTTTGTGCCGTGTTCTGTACTGTGAAGTAACTGTCACTTGAGGACGTTAAGTTATCTAAGGTTTGACTAAAACACCCTTTGCTTTTTTTTTTGCTAAAGAATATTTGCTGATGTTTCTTGATTCAGTTAAAAAATATTCCCGGGTAATTAAAAGGATTATTCCCTTATTTGTTGGCAGAAGTGAGTGTTTCTGTTCTGCTAGGAAGTATGATTTATATGAATCGTCAAGAATCCTAAGTGAGTTTATGAAAATGGGAAGAGTTAAACATGCAGATAAGCTGTTTGAGAAAATGCCTGAGAAGAATGTAGTTATTTGGTCAATCATGGTCCATGGTTATTCTAAAAATGGGCTACACAAAAAATCAGTTGAATGCTTCACCTCAATGAGAAATATTGGTTTAATGCCAAATTCATTCACCATTGTAGGTATTCTTGTGGGGGTCTCAGAATTGAGGGACTTAATACTTGGTCAATCAGTTCATGGACTGATAGTGAAGTTGGGGTGGGAAGATAATTCATTTGTGGGCACTTCCCTTCTTGAGGTTTATGCAAAATGTGGAAATATCAGTGACTGTAGTAAGATCTTTGAGAACTTAAAAAGTCAAGGACTTGTTCCATGGAATGTAATGATCAGTGCATTTGTACATAATGAACTCTTTGAAGAGGCTTTCTTGTTATTTAATAGGTCTCAGAAGTCTGGTTTGTTTCCTGATTCAATGACAGCATTGGCATTGATACAGAGCTGTGTGGCTATGGAATCTAAATGTCTTTGTGAATCAGTTCATGCTATGGTTGTTAAATTTGGTCTCGTGTCGTATGTACAGGTCAACAATTCACTTCTTTTTCTGTATTCTAATTTGATGGAGTTACCTGCTGCTTGGGAAATTTTCGATACAATGGAAGAGAAAGATCTTATCAGTTGGTCAACAGTGATGACTTTACTGGTTCACCTTGAATATGCTTCGGACGCTACAAAGCTTTTCTTCCATATGAGAGATTCAGGGAATGATTATGACAACCTCATCTTAATGAATCTCATTTCAGCTTGTGGAATTTTGGGGAACTTGAAGATGGGAAAATCTGTTCATGCTCAAGTAATAACTCATGGTTTTGGATCAGATCTTCCTCTACTTAATACAATTATTACTATGTATGCAAGATGTGAGGACTTGAATTCTTCAACAACTGTTTTCAATCAATCAAAAATGAAGAGTATGGTATCGTGGACATCTATCATTTCAGGACTTTTGCATAATGGAAGGCCGAGAGAGGCACTAGGTATGTTCATTCGCGTTAGAATTGAAGAAAATGTCATCGCTGATTCGGTTGTTCTGGTGACTGCACTAACTGCTGTTAGTGAAATGGTTGCTTTAGAACTCTGCATGCAGCTTCATTGCCATACTATAAAAGCTGGGCTTACAAATTATACAAGTATTCAAAATTGCCTCATATCAACCTACTCAAAGTGTGGGATTGTTGAACTTGCAAACAATGTTTTCGTGCAAATGGCATCTTTTCGCGATATTGTATCATGGAATGCTATTATAAACGGGTATGGTATCAATGGCCACGGAGAAACTGCTCTCTCCCTTTTCGATGAGTTGAGAGAAAGGGGAGGAATACCTGATAGTGCAACTTACTTGAGCATTTTAAGTGCTTGTAATCACTCAGGATTGGTTAGTGATGGTTTGTTGATTTTCAGTCAAATGATAGAAGAAAATAGAATCAGAGTGAGTGCAGAACATTATAGCTGTGGAGCTAATTTACTTGCTCGAGCAGGTTATTTACCTGATGTAAGTAAGTTCAAGGATGGAGAAGGTAAGGCTATTTGGAGGGCTATATTAAACGGATGTGTGCATAATGGTGATTTAAGATTAGCAGAATTTGCCGCGAAAAAGTTTGATGAGCTGATTCAGAAAGATTCTGGTCAGCTTGTGTTACTCTCAAATCTTTATGCATCAGTTGGGAGATTTCAGGATGCAGAAGCCTTGAGGTTGAGCATGGAGACCGAGAAACTGATTAAAGATCCAGGATTCAGCATTCTCACTGGAAATCTATAGCGCGTTGGTCGAATCCAAATCAGGTCATCTCAATTCTCATGAATGAATAAAATTATGCAACTTCAGATCATGAGGAGCTGTTGTAACCAGCTTTCAGAGGCAAAAAGAATTAAACATTGATAGCAAATCTGTTCAAAGAGTGATGCTGTCCAAAGAGAATAATAGCGTAAACAAAAAAGGACAACAAGCACATCAAAAATCTGAACTACGAAATCCTATCAAATTAAAATTGAGAGATGGGAAAACAAAAAACAACAATAATATCCAAATAAAAACAGGTGATGCAAAATTTGCTTCAAAACAAAGTCTTAAGGCACAGCCTGCCGAATACTTCAAAATTGAAAAAAAAATCTGTTATCAGTAAAGCTCTCAACAACACTAATTATTCTTATGCTCTTATCTTGCTTCTCTTACTCTGCCTTCAGTGACCCATCCTTCAGCTTTTTCCCAAGCTTAGTACTCTTGTTCCTCTTTCCATCTTTCAAAGACAACTTACTTATCTTTTGTTGCTCAGCTTTTCTCACTTTCTTTTCCTTCTTCTCAACATTCGACTCACTAAAAAATATACTACCCTTCTCAGTTTTCCCCTTTTTTACTTTCTTAACTCAATAATCCTCACTCTCCTCAATGTCTTTGTCACTTCCCAATTCATCTACTACACCAGTGTCAAAGTCCATATATCTAACTTCATGAATCCTCCCTTTATTCTTCTTCCCCTTCTCCTTAACCTCAACTAAATCACCACTACTCACTTCTTCACCTCTCTCCTCAGCAACTTCTTTTCCTTAAACCCCTGAATCTTGAGTTTGATATCGGGCAAGGCTTGATATAAAGGCAATGCCAAAGAATCAGAAAGCCTCAAATGCAAGCTTCTCACACCACCCCATTTCTTAGGCACCACTTCGATAACACCCTTTACTGCTTCCACCACATTCTCAACAATTAATGCACTTTATTGAAACCTTACCAACCTTCATCACACAACAAGTTCCAGTCTTTAAGTAAAACAACCCGGACCCACAAGCTAAACCACTTGCTCCTTCCAATTCTTGTGCATCAAATCCAAAGGCAAAGGAAGCTTCTTTTTCTTGAAAAATTGCTTACCAAGAAGCTTAAGAAGCAAATGAACAACCCTTCTGTCAACCAAGAAAAGATCATATGAATCACAAAGTTTTCTTTTTGCTTCAAAGGGTTTGTAGTTAGACTTGAGCTTTGAAATTTTGATGACTTTAGTAATAGGTATGTTTTGGGATTTAATGATCTTTTTTGCATCATCTGAAGTGAGTTGTGAATTGGGTCTGTCATCAATGATGAGGCAAAGCTCAGAGGATGAGGGAAAGGGATTTTGAAAGCGTTGGTACGAGGTTTTTGGTGGGATTTTCTTGAGAGTGAGGTTAAGTTAGATGAAGTCATCTTGTGGGAGTAATTGGGGTTTTTGGATTTTTGATTTGGAATTCTTCCATTTGAGAAGGGCGTCTACTGCCTTCTCTAAGGTGGCGCGGCTGACTTTAGCGGCGGAGGAGGGTGGAGGAGACTCCATTAGGATTTTTTTGAGGTTGAGGCTGAAGAAACTATAAAACCCTAGGCTAAAAACCTGGTGTGCTATATGAACAAGAAAGAAGTAGGAAAATGATATGGACCTCCCCTATACTTTTCAAATTTGCAAAGACCACCCTCAAGCACTTTTTTTTTTTTGGGTGCGTGTTTGTGTGGGGTTGTTTTGAAGCAATTCATGTTACAATGCTAACCGTCTAACAGAAATACACAATATGGATTGTAATTTGATCTCTACGACAAGGACAAAGACTTCCATCAAATTTAAATGGTTTACTCATCTATCGTTGCACATAGTTGTAGTTGAAAATTGAATTGGACTTATAAGTAGTTCGATTCTTCACTTTGATATGATTTCCAATTTATAATCAGACGATTTATCATGGAGATTGAGCTCTACTTCTCCTCTATAGGTTCCGAGACTTGCTCAATGAAGCATCATGGTTAAACTTCAGTGTGGAAAACGGACACCAGCCATTGGCTAATTTAAAGTTTAAGCAAGCTATGATAAAGAAAACTAGTAAAAAGTCCAAAAAATACTAGTAAAGACTAAATGAATGATAGTAATTGAATTTGACCGATTGACTGTGTGTCCATCGCTGCACAAAATATGCTATTTATACAAGGAGAAGATCCAAATAATTTCATGAGCTGATCCAGGAAGATCCAGGTTCAATTGGGCTACTCCCAAATCTTTATGCTTACAAATGAATCATGTTTACAGATTATTAAACCATCCTTGGTATCTCTTTGTGCATTAGGGATATAGCCTCTTTATCCTAGAAGGTATTTTACAGATTACCAGTAGCTTTTTATCCCAACTGTTTATTAAGCTAAAATTGAGCATAGAGATTTTCATTCTGGTTCTTTTCAGAAGTATTGCGTTTTTCGCTGGAGATGTGGTTTGGAGAGAACAAGTACAACAACAACAACAATAACCCAGTATAATCCCACTAGTGGGGTCTGGGAGGGTAGTGTGTACGCAGACCTTACCCCTACTCTAGGGATAGAGAGGCTGTTTCCGATAGACCCTCGGCTCCCTCCCTCCAAGAACTCCCCACCTTGCTCTTGGGGTGACTCGAACTCATAACCTCTTGGTTGGAAGTGGAGGGCTCACCAGAGCAGCGAGTACAAATAATATAAAGTTGAAACAAATATGAAGCAACACCAGGATTTTAAATCCATGAAGTAGAGACGACAACGTTGCTATAGTTTCCTCATCTTCTCTTATTAGAAGGCTATGGGCTTTCACATAGCTCAAGCAAAGAATTCCAAAGGAAGCTCTTTTCTGGGTATGCATTAGTTAGGACTGACTTCAACCTGCTCGTTCCCACCTTTTGAATATCCATTGACAGAGTCATCGACAGTTGCTGATAACAAAACAAATAAAATCAACTGCGTGAAAAGCTTAGAAATTACTGCAAACTCGAAACTAATATGAAGAAGCATAATACCTTTTTGAGCCACATCATATAAGTTGCAGCAAATGTTGCTTGAGCTTGATAGTCCGCAAAGTCACTATCAGGTACATTTGTGCAGGAACGGAATAGTTCTAATTCATTATCTATGAGCATGTCAATGTCAACTGTCCTGATGTTTCTCTGGTTAGAAGACAAGGATCTATCATGATCACCGCGCACAAAATATTTTATCCAGCATGTCAAGAGGAAGCGACGATGAAGCCACAATGCCTGACAGGAAGAAAAAAAGTAACATAAGACAGGCTTTCTCTCTAAGCTTTCAAGCTTGTAAGAATTTGGAATATCTTCATGAAGCAATCAAAAGACAATCCAGATACAGAAACAGATAAAAGACTGATGCAATCAATTTTGCGCATGGAACTGATCGTATCTTGTATGTTGAAGCAGTAGATATGAGAATATATAACAGAACACAATCAAAACACCAAAATGATCATTCTCTTGATCGCAGTAAGGATATTATAAGTTCAAATAGACAGGCGATTCAAAATGAGGATACAACAACAACAACAAAAAAAAACTCAGAAATATCCCACAAGTGGGGTCTGAGAGGGTAAGATGTACGCAGTCTTACCCCTATCCTTCCGATTCAAAATGAGGATAGTTCTCCATAAATTTCCTAGGAGATGGTGTATATCCACTCCAACACCTTACTGTCAACTTAGACGTTTCACTTACTTTTGTAAATCTACATAACTTAGTGTGCAATATTAGACGATTGATGGGAATGCTACGATTCAACATGCACCAAAGAACTGTTTGGGGGGACTTGAGGAAACTTTCAGACTTCACCAAGTCATACAACCAAAAGAAATTGTTATTCTGAAAATTACAGTGATATGCATACCTCTCTCCCCACATAGCGTTTTATCAACTTCTCCACCCAGTTGAACTCCTCCTATCAGCAGACATTCCCAAAAAAAAGATTTAGCAAATAGTAAGATGCTACTTGCTGCGTATTTGACAATAGATGATTTACTGATTTCAGAAACAACAAGAATGAAAAGTAACACTTCTTCAATTCCAGATATTACTCCAGGATTTTAGCATTTATCGTAAAAGCTTGAGAACTAGTTGAGCATTTTACTAGAACTTTCCCGCCTCCACATCAGGAACTTCAAATTTCGGTACTTTTTCACACAGATTCCTGCAACACCTCATGCGCTTTACTAGATAAAAGGATTCTAGTGCATCTCATAGTTGGCTAATTAGGGCTGAGCCTCTGTGATTTTCTGAGGAGATTTTAAGGAATTTTTTAGTGAAAAGCATGTAATTTTCAAGAAACTCCAAAAGTTCACACGAAATGCTAAGCCTTCCCCTATAAGCATCTTCTGAGTACATTCTGGAAAATATAATCTTTTTTTTTTTCTTTCAAATTATTATTACAATATAAGGGGTAGGGGAAGGGGAAATGGGGGAGGGGATTACATGGTGGAGAATTGAACCCTCACCAACAAGGTGAAAGTTCAATTAGCCAACCAACTGAACTACTAAGATTCCCCGGCAAATGCCATTCAATTTTGAGGAAACGACCACATGAGCAAAAGTGTACCTTCAACAATTCATGGAGTTTTGGATCAAAGCTAGCATCTTGATCCTTGTTATGTTGTGAATCTTCAAACAGACGAAGCATCAATCGCTGTGTAGACCAATATACCAAATAAACAACATTATACTTTCATGCCTTCCTCTATTTGAAATTTGAATGGAACAAGTGGTTTCACAAACCATTATATATTTTATAGGATTGATAGGTTTTTTCAGTGTTACCAAGCAAATCAAGGTTCTGATGGAAATGTTTTAGCATATATTACAAATGGGCATCAATAAAGCTTTTCACCCTCTATAAGCAAATGGCAAACACATGATTAGTTCACAACTAGCCAGCAGCATTTGCAGAAAGTTTAGACATAAATAATAGCTCTGTGATGGAAACTCACTGCACGGTAATGAAAGCAAGAGTTATCGGCAATATGGAGGTCAGCCCACTGCCGTGACTTGTTAAACTCCTGTAGCACCTAGATGCATGAATTTAGATCCATTTGTTAAGAATTGTGTGTACCATAATGTATATAATATTTCAAAGAGAAGAACGCAACAAGAGATGAATGCCCTTGAGATGATTGGCTGGAGTTGAAGAAAACTGAGCCCATCTTTAAGGGAAAATCAGGAATATGCAAAACACATTATCACAATCCATAAGAGACTATGACCACTGACTAAAACTTTGCATTCTCCACATAGTCACTGAAATACAACTGGCAAGAAATCGCACAAAAAATATCAACCATGAACCTTTCTCTCACCTGTTCCCCTGACATGTAGGAAACTAACCAGCAACGGTGATTCCATGCACGATAGTTCATTTTTGATCTCTGTAACAACAATGAGAGCCAACTTAGATCTCAGTGAGTAACTTGCGTAACGAGTACAAACACTGATAGTAGATTCATCCAAGCTGGTTGAGCCTCCACAAATAATAGAAAAAATAAAAAGAAGAAATAGTTTTCTGGGAATGATAGAGCTTCTTTTGTTATAAGGACTCATCTGACAGAAAATTATCATACGATTTCTATCATAGAACCAAAGTACTTCAAGAACAGATATGAATTTGAACCAGTACATCTCGAGAGAATCAGTGGTAACATTCCTAGTATCAATGAATGTAACTATCAGATCGTGCCAACCAATAGGCTATAAATATTCATTTGTTTACAGTACGATCCAAAATAAGACCTCAGCCAGTTTTTTCACTAACTCGGATTCTCTTTCCATAATCTCTTGCAGATTTGAACAATTTCCAGCAAGCATCTTGATCACCCACCTCCTATCAGTAATTAACAGTAATAAGAATCACGAATGACTGATCATTGAAAGGGTAGAATAAAATTCATTTCAAACTAACTCCCAGAAAAGACAAACATCAATTTCCAAGAAAAGATTTAAGAAAATGTTGTATCAACCTCACTTTGAGAAATATGTGCTTCATTGTTTTCTTCTTTCTTTTCCTGTGATGACTCGCTAGCTTTTGTTCAGATCCAAGTAGCATTGGGCAAGTCGAACCCTAATTCCCCCC